AGGAGGCTGGGACCTCAATCTGTATTCTTTCTTGGGCCCCACAAATGTTGCGGGGCAGGCCCATATGCAAACGGATGAAAATTAAATCAGATAGCATATGTCACGTACCCAGTAGGATCTCAGTAGATACTTGTGAAATAAGTGTACCCTTTGGTTCTTCATTTGAACCTAATCAATGGGCAGTGTACGCACCATTGTATAGAGAGGGGAACCAAGACTCTGAGAGATTAAGAGACTTGCCCAAGATCACGCGACCAAGAACTGAACCTGTGTCTGCTTAATCCCAGAACTGGTGCTCCTTCCCTTTTTAGTCTTGGCTTGATTACTTCCAGCTACATGGAACTCACTACTCCTTTGAGTCAACCCTTATCATTTCAGGCAAAGTAAGTTGGTTTTTTTTTTTTCTTTCATTGAGCTCAAATCTCTCTGCAAATTTCAGTCATGGTTCTTTGTTCTGCCCATTGGCACCTGCAAAGAGTTTGTCCCCTGTCCCACACAACCAAGCTACAAGTGGTAAACCTATCTCCCGGGGCTTATTTGTGTCCAAGCTAACCACCCCCAGCACCTGCACCCTTTCCCCAGCAGAGGGTGTTCATCCCTCCCTACCTAATCAGACCTCTGAGGACACGTGTCTGTCACCCTCCCCTACAGCACTTCACAGAAGTCATGGTGTGCAGACATACAACCTATCTGAGGCCTCAGCTGGTAGATTTGGTGCACAGGTAACCCTTCCCCGGCAATCTATTCTCCAACATGCAGAGTCCTAAAACCTAAAGCTTGTGGAACGACGTGTTGTCTAAGTCTTGGTTTCCTTACCTATAAAATGGGGATAATGATGGGTATCCTGCCCATTTTGCATGGTTCAGTGAGTATTATTTAGGGTAATTGGTTTGAAATGATGTTATAAACTGCCAAGCACATAACAAGCCCTCCACACTCATGTGTGCATGGGTGCATTAGTTCACGCACTCATTCATTCATGCGTTAGCAGCTCCTCAGGACTGGCCTCCAGTGCCGTAGAGGCACAATACAGTCTGGAGGAGGAAAACGATCCCTCCACGTAAATGAAGACCCCACCCTCACCCCCACCCCCGCAGACAGGAAGTGCACACCAGGAAAGCCGGCTCCACAGTAGAGTAGACCCGGGTGCTGCTGACACTCGCTCATGGTGCGGGCGTGCCTGGAGGTGGATCCTACTGCTCTGAGCTGCTCAGATTCCACCTTCTCCCTCTCTGCTCCCATTAGCCTCTGTGATGAGAGTTGCAAAGGGCCCTTATGCTTCTTAAAGTAAAGGAAGAAATGGAAATTGCATAAAAAGAAAAGGAGAGAAAGAAAGCAGCTGGAGAATATTACCAACGATTTGGTGTGATAACCAACGGCTTTCAGATGATTACTAAAACTGGCTTTCATTTGATCTTTCATTTCTGTTAATCTAGCAGATCATTAGAAGGAAATCAAATCCATCCCCACAGCTGAAGATGAACCCTTCCCACACACTTGATCAACTCTTCCTTCACACTTTGTTTTCCTTAAAAACAAACAAACAAAAAAAAAAAACCCTCCAGGTTACATATATTGTTCAGTTTATTTAAATACATTCAGATTGGACATTTCCCATGACAAATACTCTCTTGGGAATAAGCAACATTTTCCCTCTCTCTGAATTAAGAATTTCTCATTGCTTTGCAGATTTAAAAACATCCAACTGAAAACTCCCTTTTATGGATGAAGAAACCAAAGTACAGAGAGGGAGGTAACCCTGCACCATTTATGGCTATAAATGGCGGAGCCAGGATTTACCCGCAAGAGTCTGACTGCAGTAGCACTATTCTCACCTATTCTCCTCCCCCACCTGTGCTCTGAAAATAAGAGTGGGTCTCACTTCCTGCTAACTCAGGGACCCTCTCTACCCTAAGACAACATTCTAATTGCACACAGAGCTTGAAGTACAAGTTGCTAGAAATAAACTAAATATTCACCAACAGGGAAGTGAACAATGGTCCAATCATTGATGAAAATGATGTTTACAGATAGTTGTTAACAAGAAGGGGGCAATTAGTGTCATAAAATGGAGAAAAAAGCAGCATACAAAAATGATATGGATAGTATGGGTATGGCTTCAACTATAAAACATAAAAGACATTTATATTATTTTTATTAACTCAAAAGTTGATAAAGTTTAACTCTAGTTGGCTGAATTTGAGGGAGATTTCATCTTATACATGTTTCAGTATTTTCCAATTTTTCTACAACGAGCACCATTACTTTTATGAGGAGGAAAAATTTTACTAAGAAATGGGGGGCACAGAAGCAACATCTGTCTTTTCTACCCCAAAATGCCCTTTTGGAGGCACAGTGGGTGGTCCTGGCCTACCAAGGTGCCTCCTCAACCCCACAGCCCCTTTGAATGCTTCCCGCCGCCATCCTTCCTGCCCCACCAACCCGGGCCCAGGCAGACGTAAGCCCCGCCTCCTTCCACAAGCCCCTCTTGAACACTCCGGGTCAGCCATTAGGCTGAATCATATGAAGTTGCCATTCGTGTATTCCAAAACTAGTCTAACTATTGGCGATTCCATATGGTTCAACCTAGTCCTTGGCTCATGCTGCCTTCTTCTGGAAACTTCAGCCTGTCCCCCAGCCTGAGACACACAATTGCACATGGTAACTTTCTGCATGGCACTGTCCTCTCCCATCCTACATGTAGATCCTGCTTCACGTTGCTGCTTTCTGCACACCGCCTTACGTTTTATTCATTCTGGCTCTGAACGTTATTTAAGCGGCTGCCTTGCTGGCCACAGAGCTTCCTCACTCATAAGCACCTGCCCGTGTTCTGTGCTTGGCCCCGGAGACAGAGACACGAGTCCCTGTCCTAAAGCTTCAGTCAGAGAAAGAGCCCTGCAGAGGCACGAACCCGCCCAGGGAATGGTCACACCTTACAGGTGCCCCTCTCTTTAGAGTGCCGCATACTTTCATGTTCATTCTCTTGCAGGGCAAGAGCGGGGCAGGCCTGGCTCTAAATCTCAGTCTGTCTGATAAGCAGGGTGGCCTTGAGCATGTCATGCAACCTTTCCAAGCCTCAGTGTCCTCGCCTGTAAGCAGAAGTGGCCACAGCCCCTGCTGCACACGGCGGTGGTGGGGACCAAGTGGGAATACGTGTGAACATTTCCCACTGTCACACTTCTTGAGAAACAGGCAGAGCTGCAGCTGTCATTCCTTTTTTCTTGCTGATGGAGAAACTGGGCTCAGGAGTCTAGTGACTCATTGGAGACCAAGTGCATCTGGTGCCAAAACCTTGATCTCCTAAGCCCAGACCTACGGCGTCCTTCCAAGAAGCTAACAACTTCTGATTTTATTAATAAAAGCACACAAACATTTCAGGCTCACTGGCGCAACTCATCAGGAAATTTCCAAACACATTTGCTACCCCTTCACTACCTGGAATAACTCTGGAAGGGCCCACGCAGAATTCAGCGCTGCCGTTTCCCTGTAATGGTGACTGGCTGGCCATATGCTCGTCGCGTTTCCCATCTGCTCTGCGCACGGGCGAGGGGACGAGCGTGCCTACCTGCCGGCGGAGGGACTCAGCTCCCATCTAATGGCCCTCTGAAATGACAATCTCACATCAGCTCGGAAATTCCACCTTCCCCATAAGTCTTGGAAATGGACCCCTCTCAACAGACGCCACACAAATATGGCTTTTACTGGTTACTTCTGACTTAATGCTTAAACATTTTCAAATGGAAGAGATGTGTCTGGTTTTATTCCTCGCACATAAAATAACGCACTCACCATTAGTCATGTCCTGTCTGTTCTCACTGGGAAATGCACGCACGTTTTTCTAGTTTGCTGACTTCTGTCTGGAACCCGAGACCTTTTGAGAGCATAATGTATCTTGGAGCCACCCTGCCTCGACTGTGGACAAGTTGTTGCAGCTTCCTGTCGCCTCCAGTGATAATAGGACACTTTGGTTCTTAACCTTTTGAAAGTATGATGAAACTTCTAGCCTTTTCTCTGGGAAAAATACACGTATACACAAAATCTTGGGCAGTTTCTGGGCTCACCGATACCCTTAAGAAGTCCACGCATTTCAGATTGCAAACAAGCTCCAATCTCTTTAGCTTGACATTCCCGGCCATCCGCCTCTGGCCTTTGGGTTTCCGCTGAGCTCCCACCTTCCTCGCTGCCAATCCACTGCATGCACCTGTCTCTCCAGCCTGCTTGAGCTCCTCAAGGGTCCCCCAACAGAGTCGCATGCCTTTGTTTCCTCCAACAGGGACCTCCTTCCCTTCATTTTCATGTTTCAAATCCTACTCACCCTTTCAACCTTAGCTCAAGTGCCATCTCCTCATCAGTTTTTTTAAGAAAATTATTCCCATCAGGAAATAATCTCTCCTGTCACTTTCCTCCCTTGGCAATTTGCCTTTACCTTTGTGGTACGTAGCACTTTCCACCTTATAGATATTTACATGTGGATCTTGCCTCCTGAATAGCCTGTGAGCTAACTCACTTCTGTAGTGTCTCCTCCCCTACCTCAACACACACAAACAAACACCTGTTTCTCTACTCCAAGCTTGGTGCAAATCAAATGGAAAATGAATGTGCAAATATTCATCTCTCTGCGATCTGGACTTCTTCATTTATGCAACACCTTCAAGGGTGCTTGGGCTAAGTGTGTGCTGATCAGTAGGATCTGGCCACAAGGAACACTTAGGGATCAACTGAACCCCAGAATTCCAACCAGAGCTCAGCGGCAGGACAGTCGGACGATTCTTCTGGAAGATTCTGTTTCCAGAAGAATGCTCTCCAGTCAGAAAGATAATGGCCTGTCTTTATGATGGCATGCTTAGTCCAGATAATGAGGAACCCCTCTTCCCTATTGTGCAGGGGATTTTGATGAGAGGTACTGCCATTGTAAGGGGCAGGGTCTGGGTTTGGAGGACTTCAGATTAATGTGTTTTCTCTGGAGTGGGCAAAGCCACATACATTCCCTGGTCTCACTACAAGATCCGGCCATAAAGCTGAGTCACTGGGAAATTCCTTGTTCTCTATTCTCTCAGAATGTTTCACCTTTATCCTGGATTCTACATAGAATCTACTCAATTTGGGGATGCATGCATTGATTCTAAACATGACACAGGATCCAAAAGATACACCTGGAGTCGAGCTAAGAGTGAAGCCTGATCTCCCAATAAAACCTTTAGGGGCCAAACATCTCTGAATTAGGACCACAGCTGCTCCAGCAGGCTGATCCTCCCTTTGTGGTTGTTATGGTGACAGGAGGTAAAGGAAATGGGGAAAAGATGATGAGAAATGTTATTGCGGGAAAAGGGGCTTCTGGGCCTTATATAAGTCATGTTCCAAATATATACCTTGGAATAAGAGGCAGGCAGTCCCAGGCATCGTGTGGCATCGTGAATTCAATAAGATCCCCTCAGATTTCCCCAAGCCTGTCTCTGCCTTCATTTTTATTACTCTGCGGTCCCAAAAGCTTATGTTTCCTAAGAAAGAAGTCCAGTTACCTGAAATATCTACGTTCAGGCAAAGGAGCACAATACTAGTAAAATGGCTCCCCTGGGGGGAAACCGACCTTCCAAAAATTAATCAGCTGATGCAATAATCACTTTGTTTTGAAGATAATCAGGGAATACAATTTATTCACTTCTGCTTCTGATAGAAGTTTAAAAAAACAGAGAGACTTAGGCCACCCAAACACCTGAGTAAAGGGGAAATTTTCTGTTGATTTTCCTTATTATTTCCCTTATCTTAAAAGCTAAGCTTCCGGGTGTGACGTGGGACCTGGAGACCAGTGCAGCCGCAAGGCCAAGTGTGGAGAGCGCTGGCGCAGAGGTCAGGAGGCCCAGGCCCGGCTTCCACCCTGCCTGGACCAGCGTTGTGACTTGGGGCAGGCCACTCGCCCCATCCTGCTTAGTTTCCTCAAGTCTGAGCCAGGAGGGCAGAACCATTATGGACACAACTCAAAAGAAGCAGCCTCAGGAGCTGATGAATTACTTGTCACCATCAGCAAAATTTTAAAGGAGAATCTGATGGACCACTTGGGGACCCTGAGAACTGGCATTTGTCTGATGCTGTCAGATTTCATGACGTTCTCTCACGTGCACCATTTCATATCATGACCACGACCACCCAGCCAAGGAAATACCTTGATTTCTATTCATCAACAAGAACAGAGAACAAAGTGACTTGGCCAAGCTCACAGTACGATGGTCAGAGGGATAAAGGGTTTCACCCCAGACCTGGCTGATGCCAAGTCCAGTGTCCTGGCAGGACACACACTGCTCCTCTGTCAGGGTGCTGACCAGGGGGACTCTCGACCCAGGGGGCTGAGCAGCAGGATGACCTCTGAGATCTGCGCTTCTATCAGTAGAATTAGGGGTTGGATTAAATCAGGGGTTCTAAAAACTTCTCGTAGCAGAAGAGACCCTCTCCCTTCAGATGAAATATAGAGTGCCAAAATATAAAATGGATTCACTGCAGCATCCCTCGGGTTGAAAAACAGATGGTTTCCACCCAAAGGTACTAAAATGTGGTATATCCGTATAATGGAATATTATTCAGTTATAAAAAAGAATGAATGCTGACACACGTTACAACAAAGGGTGAACTTTGAAAACATTATGTGAACTGAAACAAGCCAATCACAAAAGACTGCATATGGTGTCATTCTATTACATGAAATATTCAGAATAGGTGAACCCATAGAGACAGAAAGCAGACTAGTAGTTAAGAGAGAAACGGGGTCAGGGGGTGGTGGTGACTGCTTCATGGCTTCCTTTTGGAGTCGTAAAACTCTGTGGAGCTAGCTAGTGGCAATGTTTCACGACATTATGAATGCACTAAATGCCGCTGAATTGTATACTTTTAAATCGCTAATTTTATAATATGTGGATTTTACCTCCATATACAAGTTTCTAGAATCCCACCCCACAAGCCTCCCCCTCTCCTACATCTCTCCACGGCCCCCACAGAACCCCACATGAAAATCAGTCGAATCACTAGACATTACACAATGCCACCATAGTCAAGATTGTTCTCATGTGACCGCTGTTTTCCTCCTCCAGGAACCAAAGGCGGTTTCTCCTAACACACCAAATAAATGCGGGCCGGTGACATCTTGCTCCCTGGAAATGGAACCTTCCGCTGATGACCAGCTCCAGGTCAACTCAAGTCCTCAGTAGCGGAGCAGCTTCAGTTTTAGGATGTGTCATTGCTGTCAACTTCAAAATTCTCCTTCAAGTAAAATTCTGCTTGTCTGTTTCACATCCAGCAGTTGCTTTTACTGTTGAGTAGTGAGCTAAGCGGGACTAAGTGCCTGCTACATACCAACAGTTCCCCTCACTGTTGATTTAAATGTCACTACCCCCATTTTATAGAAAAGGATACTGAGGCTCAAAACAGCTGGGCGACACCCCCAGGGCCTCACCAGCAGTCCTGACGTGACGACAGGGCCAGGATTTGAATCTGCCTCTTCGGCTCAAGAGAAGGTGCCAAGACTCTGCCAAGATGGGCGTCCGCCAGAGTCAAGTCGCTCCCCCACAGGCTGCCTGAGCCCGGCTGGCAGCCCCACCCAGGGACTGAGCCCGGCTGCCAGAGCCAGAGGCGTGCGACACAGGGGCGTGCGACACAGGGGCGTGCGACACAGGGGCGTGCGACACAGAGGTGTGCGACACAGAGGCGTGCGTCTGAGCCCCTGCGCCCGTCCAGAGCACGCTGGGGGCCTGAGGGGTTTGGGCATCTACTTTTTTCCTTCAGTCTCTGTGGGAAAAGTGAAGACCCACTTTAACGGTCTTGCTCACAAACTGTCCCCAAGAAGGAACTCATGAGGGACACTTCAGACCCTCTTTCGCTAAAGAGTTCAAGGGCAAGGCTAGGATACCGCTTGTTTTAAGAGGTTTAGGCCAGAGCCTATGCACACGCTAGGAGCTCCGGCTTCTCGGGTCTATGTGACGTCATTCCGTGCAGCTGGAGTGACACGGTCTCTGACTCGGACACCCAGGATTCCGCGCTACATCACTGTGCGGCTCCTGTGGGCGTCAATCTGGTGCTTTTTTGAGCTATTCTGAAACATTTCTACACAAAAGAGTTGAGAGTAATTTGAGCCTTCTCCTCTGCATGGTAAAGTTATCAAAAGGATAATAATAATCCCTTATGTATAAATGCGCTTTACAGATTACAAAGCGCTTTCATGGATAATCACTGCTGGGTTTTTAAAAAAAGTGAAATTAAGGAAAAATATCAGTAAATGGCATTTAGCTATTAACATCCACCCTTACATCATAGGTATGAAACAGGTGAAGTGAAAGGGTTTTTATTAGAATTGAAGTCAGGTTCTTGAAGTTCTAACTGTTCCTGGTTATCAATAAAAAAGTCAATGCTATTTAAATTAAAAATGAGGTGCTGCTATTTATGACGTGATAAGTTATAAAATGCCTTTCCCGCCCTTTCCAATGGTCCTGTGCCCGGTTGCTATTATATTTTAGATCTGCAGCTCATATGGATTACACAGGATACGGCACGTATGGCTCATACAGGGAGACGCAAAGAAAACCGACTAGACCAAGAAAAAGCAGCTCATCTTGTGTCAATGCCATTTAGTGCAGATACAGTGGAACCCCTCCATCTTACCATGTTTGGGTGCAGAGTTTAAGAAGGCTCAGATCATACAAAGGCTTTTGAAATTCCTGTTCCCACCAAAGTAATCAGAATGCTCATGTGTCAAGGTCATCCTAAAAAAGCTGCTCCACCATGCCACGCTGGCATAAATAGCCACCACAATCTCCCCACCATGCCATAGTCTCTTATGGCCTAATCTCTGCTGGAGAGAGCCATAACTATTAGAGAGTCCGTTTTTGAGGAGTGTATTGCAATTAATCGGACCAGATTGCAATTCAAATCCATTGCTTTCCCCAGCGCCGGAGAAAGCAAGCAGCCGTGTACACGGGGGTACTAGTGAGCATGCTGCGTGGCCGCCGCCGTGTTTGGGCTGCTCAGAGGACACACTACTGCTTTGAAGCACTAATCGGTGGAAGCCACACCTGGCAGGATTGGCCCGTACAAACTACAGGCGAATATTCTCAGCCGAGTCTTGCCAACAACCGCGATTGGGCCTTTCATGGTGAAGAACACTCTCGAGAACTCAGCCGGGCAGGCGCCATCCAGCCTGACTCAGGTTATGACAAATGCTCCTTTGGGGTAACATCATGTCCTGCCGGGCAGTGGCGCTCCACCTGGGCTGCACAGGACAGCCCATCGCCTAGGCAACGTGCAGGCCATCCGTGGTCAGGCCTCCAGCCCAGCTAATTAAAATCAGCATCTCTAGAAGTGGGGGCCCCAGTACTGCGTATTTTTGAAAGCTCCCCAGATGGCTCTAATGTGCACCCAAAGGTGAGAAGCACCTGTGTTGGGCGAGGATACCAATATGGGGGATTCGGCCCAGCTGGTGAGGAGCCTGCACAGCCCACTTGCTCAGGGAAGTCAGCACTCCTCCTCCTGGTCCTGGGCCATTGCTGCAAGTGCTCTACCTGTCTGGGGCATTTGGGTCGATCTGATTTGTCCGGGGTCTGAGAAGTGCTATGGGAGATGCCTGTCTTTGATTTTTCTGCCTAAAACATAGGCACAATGATACTAACTCAAGCCCTTAATTCGCGAAAACCTGGAACTTGGTAAAAACAAAACAAGCAACACGTCCTAGTGAAATATCTTTCATTTCTGGGGTGAGTCCATGGAGGGAGCACATACTCCCCCCCCCCCGGCTATATACCAGTGTAATGTCCCACTGGGTGGGTGGGGATGGAGAAGAATTATATCTGTTGCGAATATGATAGAACAGTCTTTAAATTGGCACTGCAAATTTTGAAACTAAAGCTTACATTGCAAGAACGTAAACATCATGAAGAAAATAAACCATGTCCAAGTTTCCTGGGTCTTCTCCTGCACTTTGTTTTATTTTTTCCTATGCTCTCGGGAGGAAGAGAAGCCCTATGTGAAGACGATGGGCAGGTGGAGATCCCATCCCTGAGGGAAAATGGGTTCTTAGAAGAGACTTCCCAGATTTGAGTAACAGTCAGCCAGAAATTCGTCAGCTGAGCCCCATCTGCCAGATTTTGAGCCACCAATTGTTTGGGGGATGATGTTTACACAATGAAAATATGATCTATTAGATTGTTCAATAAATAAATCTCACTTACTTCGTTAACAGGTTCCAAGAACTTAACTTACCTGCTCGGGACGTGAGGCAGAGTTAGGAGGCAGAGTTGTTAGAAACAAATCATGTAAAAGATACTTACTGGCTCTCTCTTTTCTTCTTGAGTGGGTTCATGAGGCGCAGAGTGTCTCTGATCACAGCCACCTTCACTTCTTCATCAACAAGGCTGGGGACATTTTCAAACACCCCTGGAGAAAGCTTGAATGGGTGAGGGTGCTGTGTCACAGCGGAGGCCGTGGCTGAGTGCCAGGTGGCTACCAGCCTCTAGCCCTCCAGCTAGCTCAAGGGTTGCATTGACAGATTTTGCCTATGCTAATCCATAAAAGAGAACTCTTAAGGGCTCCCTTTATACTACCTTAAAAGGTCAATTTCCTTTTACAAATCAACAGAATACATGAAGAGGGAAAATAGCACTATGTTTTCCTGACTATCCAAATGATACATGCTCACTGCAGAAAACTAAGAAATAAAGGAAGGGGTTAAGAAAATTCAAAGAATCTAGATACGCCCCCCAAAACCCAATGTTAATATTTGTTATATTTCCTTCCTTCCAGTTTTTTTAAAATACATTTTGGCGGGGAGGGGGCAGAAAAATATAACCACTGTTAAACGTACTATTTATCCTAGTGATTCAAGCATGTCGACATGGCTAAATCATATTCATAGAATTTCAATTAGTTCATCTCCTGAGGCTAACTAATTAGTTCTTGACAAAACTGATGGGAAGGCTCAGCTGCTCCGAAGCTTCCAGACCTTAAAACCTGGAAGAGTGGCATGCCGGGAAATCACCATGGGTCAGATAGGTCTTATATTAATAGGCCATGTGCAGAGCACAGCAAAACTAAAATTATTTGACGGGAGCAGAACTTTGCCGGGAGAGTTGGGGACGATGGCGCCTGTTTGGCTCAGTGAGCACGACAGTAGGAACATTCAGCCGTGCGGTAATAGAGTCGGAGATGCTCGAAATACTTACTTCGTGCTCATGCTCGATTCTCATGCTGGGGTTTGCGTTTACTTCAAGTAGTACAGGCTTCAGATTTTTCATGAGAAGAATGTCAAAGCCTAAAATCTGGACAGGATAAACATAATTCAGAGTTACGTCCTCTAGCCGCAGTTTCTACTCGGGAATTGAGTACGGTATTAGGGTCGTTAAGGTGAAAATAAATTCAAACTCAGCCCCCGGCCTTGGCCCCGAGCATGGCTTCTCTCGTCCACAGCCCCTCCTCCTCTGGGGGTGTGTGTCAGACCACATGGACGGCAGAGGATTGTACGGGAACCCTGGTAATGGGCTGAGTTCCCCTAGTGCGTTTCTGCACGGTGTCGTCTCAAGTGCTATGAGACACTGACCTCTTTCTTCTCTAACAGGTTTTTTTATTATGTTGAAAGTGAGCACTAGTCCATCCATTGCTCCCTCTGCCTTTTCTTCTGCTCTCCTCTGCTAACTTGCGTCTTAGCTAGATCTCTGACAACCTAAGGCTGCTTTTCTTGTCCTGGGTAGACATCAGTACCACATAAGGACCCCTTCCAAAGCCACTGTGTCCCCCAACCCACACCGACCGAATCAGAAGCTCTTGGGGTGGAACCCAGGCAAATATATTTTGAAAAAAAAAAAAATCCCCAGGGTGATTCTGATATAACTAACCTCTTAGTTAAGGAGACGGAACCATTGATTAGGCGCCTACTAGGCACTAATTACTGTACGACGCACTGATTATAACATAATCTCATTCAACCCTCAGGATGGTGTACGTGACGAGGGGTCATGCTCTCCATTCCACGGAAGCAGAGACTGAATCTCAGAAAGACCAGCAGATTGCCCCCCAAGACTGCCTAGCTCATAAAGGACAGAGCTGGACAGAGCTGGATTTTACACCCAAGCAGGACTGACTGCGTAATTTGTGTGACCCAGTACGAGATGAAAATGCAGGGATCTTTGCTCAAAAAAGAATTAAAAAGTTCATGCCGGTAACAACGGAGTGTTAAACCAAGCTCGCAGCCCTTCTGAGCACGGGTGTGTGCGACTGCCCTGCACCCAAGGCTACCTCCAGCTCCATTCGTTGGCTGCCGATTCTCAGATCCATCATCCTGCCCCAGCCGAGGCTCTGCCTTCCAGCCATTCCGGTTTCTCTCAATTCCTTACAAGCCCGACCATCAGGGCAAGCCACCATGTGCATCTTGTTCTCTCTGCCTGAAACAGTCCTGCACCTGGGTAACTTCTCCTCCTCCTTGAGCTCGCTGCGCCTAATTAAATTCAGATTCAGACTACAAGGACTTCGGGTTCTCAGGAGGACTCTCGTTATCTCTACAGAAGTGATAAGGCAGGAAGTTTCTAACATAACGATAGCACCCCAAAGTCACACACACAAAAAATAATGTGGAGAATAAAAGAGAAAAAGGAAAAGATATGGTTGTAGACTCCCCTCCCCTGTGGATTCAAGAAGAAAAGATGAGGGAAATCCATTTACTTGTCTGGATAGAATATGCATTAGTTAAATGATCATTATTAAACTGTAGCTTCATCCTTATTAATGAAATCAGAGCCCAAATGGCCATTTTGGGGGATGATTCAAGATGAAGTTATTTTTCAGTGAAGGGCAATAAGGATGAGAAGTTGGGAAAAGTCATCCTTGCTCTATTTTTCTTTCCCTGGTCATGAAAAGAAAGGAATGGAAATTCGGCAGACAATGTTATGTGTGTGACAGATCTGCTTAATAATATATGACAAGGGGATGTGAGTGATGAGGCCTCTTAGGGACTCTGGTGACATCATCAGTCTAGCTTCAGACCTGGCCCGAGACATGTGATGCTGAAGAGGCCACAGAGAGTGGCGGGCTGCCGTGCCCTCGTTCACCATCCTCAGTCATCAGCTCTGACTTTTCGCTGTGGCTTGGAAGTTTGGACTTGTGCTTTCTCAGCCTGGTGGCCTCTTCCCAGCCCAAGGCCCGGTGGTTCCATGCCTGTAAAGCCCTAGGGATGTGGGGGGCTGGAGCAGGCGTGGAGAAGCCTCTTCAGCCGTGTTGGCCCACCCCACCGTAGGCATCATATAAGAGCTTCCAGAACCTAAACTTGGGTGCATGTTTCTGAACATGTTGGGTCTCCTACACGAATGGCTTGGAGTCAGAAAGGCCTGGGCTCCAATCCCAGCCCAGTCTCTTACACAAGCTGGATGACTTTAGGTGAGGCGCTTAACCTCTCTGAGCCTCAACAGCCTCATCTGACAAGTGAGATTACAGCTGCCTTTCAAGGCTGTTGATGATGGAAGTGAAAAGCAGGACCTAGGACCGCGCTCCCATACAAAATGTATTCAGTAGGTGCCAACTTCCTGCCAACCCCACCGACAAAAAGAGCTCCATTACTGCTCCAGACGGTAGTCAGCACTCCAGCCCTGGTGACAGAGTGAGACCCTGTCACAAAACAGAAAATACCAGAAAACAAAAATAGGAGTCAGCAGCGTGTAGCTGGTATGTAAAGCCACGGGGCTGGGTGAGATCCTTTGGGGAGTGATGTGGATGGGAAGACAAATTTCCAAGGATTGGGCCGGGGATCTCCGACAATGACAGGTCCAGAAGAGGAGGCTGAGAAGCAGCAGCCAGCAAAGGAGGAGGGAACAAGTAGGGTGAGTAGGTGACTCACACCTTCTGCTTGGCAAATCCTTCTTCATGCCTTAAGCTCCAGCCTAAGCAGCTCCTCTTCCAGGAAGCCTCCCCTGACTGGGTTAGGCAGAGCTAACCACCCCCTTTTCTGTGCTCTCCCAGCACTCTGTGCCCTCTTGCAATATTTCTTACAAGGAACTGCAATTCTCACACGTGCACTGTGCACCCCTTAGGTGCAAGGACCTCATCTTCTCCATGACCACATGCCCACAGCTAGCTCAGAGGTCGTCTCAGTGGGTGCCAGGGAATGTGTTAGAGTCCAAAGGAAGAAAAAGCTTAAATATCATAAGTGGAAGACTGTACAGAGAAGGCGGGACTTGAGCAGTACCCTTGGAAGGCCTTGAATTTAAAAAAGCAGCGAGCACAGGAAGAAGCATGCAGGTTGGCCAAGACAGAGGAGAACAAAAAGGCAGAAATGGGAAAGCACAAATTATGTCCAAAAGACACGAACTAAATCTGTTTTGCAGGACTGCAAGGCTCGGGGAGGGTTAGGGAAGCAGACCTGGGCCAGGTTAGGAGGTGACAAATGCCAGGCGAAGGACTCAACTTTCAAACTATGCTCCTTGGAACACTGGTGTTTCGGTTAAGTTTAAAGTGTGAATATTTCATGGTTTCTCATAACCTCAAGGCACTTCATCATAGACAAATTTGAGAACTATTGTTACAAATAACAATGTAATAATCATAAAACTGTCACTTATTAAGTGATTGCTATGTGCTAGGTACTGTGCTAAATGTTCCACGTAGCTTTCCCTCATTTGAGCATATGACTCTGTAAGGAGTTACAAATACAATTTCTGTTTGCAGATAAGGAAACTGAGGCTGAGAAAGGTTAATTTGCCAAGTGCACCAGCTAGAGTTTCTGCAAGGAGGAGCTGGGATTGGCTCAAACCCAGGGTGTCTGACAACCAGATCCAAACCTTTGGCCATGACATGGCTCCTTGGCCTCCTCCCTTTGGGGTGTCTGGACTGAAGGGTACGGAGGAGGTCAAAAGGAAAAAAGAAGAAAGAGGAGAAACATCTTAGGATTAAGGAACGGTTTCTCCTCCAGACATCGAGGAGAGAGTTAGACACAGAAAGCTAGAAGAAGATACAGACCAAGCAATGGGAAACTGTTCGTGAAAGCTGAGCTGAAACCCTTTCCTCTGCGTGTGTATTTCTGCCCGATGAATCATCTACACCCAGATAGAACTTGCTGTTTAAACAGGGTCACACTGGTGCCCTCAGGAAGACTGACATGAGAATATATTGCTGGGGGCTGCCTGGGCAATGACAAGACAGGGTGGAATGACAGGGCAGCCATGTTCCTAGGCAACAGATTACAGGAAACCTGCCCACAGCCTGGGCAGCGCCAGCAGCTGCTCGGGGCCATCACAATTTCCCAAGTAGTTATTGTGGCTATGATTGGAAAGGGGTCACAGTCACATGTTTAAGATAAATGTAATTTTTTTGGCTCAGGCTTATGTTCTGGAATGCTGCAATCTGAGCCAAGCCCAGGCTGAAAGCAAGAGGGGCTGCATGGCAAAGAAATAATTTATCGCATCTGCATAGAACATAACAGCTTGCAAAGCCCTTCACAATCTTTATCTCACTGGAGTTGGACAACAACCCAGTGAGGTGGGTGAGGAAACTGAGGCACAGAGAAGTTAACTGACTTATGCAAGATCACACAGCAAGTCGATAGCAGAACTATCCTGTGTCCCTAAATCTTTGGGTTCCAGGTCAGTTCAGGTTGACCCAAACGAACCCAAACTGACAAGTGTTCCAACAAGCCATGAGAATAAAGAAAAGTAAGAGAGGACTCCAAGAGAAAAAGATACTATTTTCCTCTCTCAATTGCTGTGTGTCTGGAATGTACAGTAAAACAAATTCCAAACATCTGACACTTTATACCTTGCCAAAGCATTTTCACCTACGTGACTTCACTAAAAAGGCAGGCAGGGAAGTGAGAGTAGGCCATTTTCACAGGGAAAGACAGAGGCTTTCCCTGTGAAAATGGGAAGAAATTGCCCAGGTCACATGGCTGGAAAGAGGAAGAGCTGTTCCTTGAACTTCCCCTCCAGCCCTGTGCTCCCCCTCTTGCCCCAGGCCTGGAAGCATTTAGTGCACTGGAGCAGTGGGAAACGGTCACAAGGCTGTGGTTCCATTTGCTAGACATGACTTGTCCCAACCAGTGACCCCCTGTCTGCCCATGCAGCCTGTCCACAGCAAGATGCATAGCAAAACAACCATCCCGGCCCTCCACCCTGCCACGCCGGCCATGCCAGGGCTCTGTGGCTTGGCCATGCATGCTGGGCCCACATGACACTCCTGGAATAGCTGTCACTGTCAAACAGATGCAGCCACACAGTCCCCCGGGATGACCCCTGGATGCGTCCACGTTGCAGCTGTCTCCTCTGCCCTAACTTTTTGATGGCTCGGGTCAGGACTTGTTTTCTCTGGTCCTACCTCTAAGTTCTGCCCACTAATCTCCTCTGATGTTTTAAACCAACTATCTACCTCCTGAGCTGGACATCTGCCTGGGAACAAATGGCCTGGAGTCCAAGTGCCTAAGGACAGATCTCTGGATGACAGTCACCCCTCTTGGTGCTGACCACTGTCTGAATTCCCTCTCTACATGGGGCTCCACAAGCCTGCCTGGAAATCGCGCTGGTGGGGGCCCAGCCAGGGGGTAGCCTCTCTGGGGCTGCACTTTGGGACCAGCCTGCTCTTCTACTGTCGAATGAATGCCCCATTCCCTCCCCTCTTGCTTCTTGCTCCATGAGAGCAGTCACCCTCCTTCCACAGATGGAAACAACCCAAATGATAGGTAAAGTGTGCATATTTATAATACAACACACAACAGTGCAAATGAAACACACCAACGACTGCCACCAACACGTGTGGGCCTCTGAAACATTGCATGTGGTGCAAAAGAATGTTGCAGAAGACATGATACTTCCTAACAGCATTTTTATAAAACTCAAAAACAGGCAAAACAAAACAATTATTGTTTAGGGATACATTCATGTACTTAAAATTTACTTTTTAAAGCAGGAAATGATAAACATAAAATCCAGGATAATGGTTACCCCAGGGGGATATGGGCTGGGGAGGAGCATTCCGTGGGAATCTTGGGTTGGGAAGTGGGTTTGGGATAATCATTTTGTCGTTTCGACGTTTTGCTTCTTGGCTTACAAATATGTTCCATGTATTCTTTATTTCATTTATCAACTGCTACAAATAAATAACTCTAAGGATTAAGTGGAGAGGGTCCTAGAGGTGCCCCTTCTTCCCGTCTCCTCCCCAAGCCTAGTGGCGGCAAAATGTGCGCCCACTGAGTGTCTGGCCTCCACGTCCCCACCACCCTCCCCGTCACAGCCAATGACCTGCAAGAAAGTTCCGCCTCACTCCCCATTTCCTTCCCCCCACGCTCCGGCTCAGCCTACTACACTCAGAGGACAATTCCCACGGAAGTCCCCAGCCATCCTAGTTAGTGAATGCAGCGGACAGTCTCAGCGCTGCTCTTGCTACACGTCCCAGCAGCACGGACGCGGCTGACCTCTGCCTGCCTCTTCCCTGAGCGCTCTTCCTCGGCATTTCGGGCCCCTCCTCTCCTGATGGCCCTTCTATATCTCAAGACACTGCTCCTTGGCCGTCATTGCTGGTGTCCCTCCGCTGCCTGTCCCTTAGTTAAGTGGTGGCGCCCACAGGGTCTTCTTGGGCCTCCTCTCACCCTGCAGCTGCTCATGTCTTGAGTCGCATCTGAATGGTGAGTTCTCACCTCCGTCCCCAGCCCAGACTCCCGTCTCCTGACCTCCAGAACCAAGCAGCCGGCTGTCCGCCTAGCCTCTCCGCTTGCATGCCACACGGGTACTTGAGTCCAACCTCCGACCCTCCCTCACAGCCTGGCCTCTACCCACCCAGGCAAGTACCCAGGCCACCTGCGAGTCACCTCGCTTCCTCCCCGCCCTCCCTGCCCCACCTGGTCACCAAGTCCAGCCCTTCTACCCCTTACACAGCACTCAAACCTGCCCATGACCTCCACCTCCGCCAGGACCGTCCTACCCAACCCAGCCTCCTCGCTGGCTCTACACAGGCCGTGGTCTGTCTGGGAACCTCCCTGCCTCCGGCCTCACCTCCAGCCTCCGCCACCCTGCACACACTTCGTCCTTTGTAACATGAAGATCCCAGTGCACCTGTCCCCTGCTGAAAGTCCTCCAGGGGCCCCCTTCCCCAGGCTCCCCACGACTCGGCCCCCACTCCCCTCCCACCCCATCGCCCCTCATTGCCCTCCAGGCTCTGCCCCAAGCCCACCCTCCAGCCACCCTGAACCTCTGCCGGGGCCTCAGACACACGCGCTTCCCTCTCACCTCTGGGACCCAGGATGTCTCCGCCTAGAACACTCCGCCTGCCCCGCGCCTGCCCAGTCCCACCTGCTTCATCTAAGGCTTAGCTGCCGTTTCTTCTGGGAAGCCATCCCCCTCCCGCCCGGAGGCCGTCGGGTGGCTCCACAACCTCACAGCACCTTGTACGTTCCCTATTCTATCCTAGCCCTTGTAACGCTTCATAATCATTTGTTTTAAATGATGCGTCTCTCACAACAGACCCCACGCATCAGCCGGAACCTGACTTATGTCTGCCTAGAACCTAGGACAACGCCTGACCCCTACGGAGCAGGTGGTAAAGGGTGTTAATGAATGAATGAGTGAATGAATGAATGAATGAATGAATGAATGAATGGCACTCTGCTTGACATGTTATCTTATTTAATTCTTACAAGAATCCTTTAAGGTAGGTACTATTAGTCTCATTTTACAGGTGATAGAAGGGAAGGAACATGTCCCAAATCACAGAGCTAGCGAGTAGAAATCAGAAATTGACCCCATGTTTAACACCAAAGCCCACAGTGCAACCACCCGTCCCCTCCTCCGGCCCTCCCACCCCGTCGCCCACCCACACGCGGCCGGGGAGCCCGCTCGGGGTCGGTCGAGCTGGGAACGGGCGATGGTTACCTGGAAGCACGTGGGGCCCGGCCTCCCAGTGGGGATGTCCGACTGGTAGAAGACTTTGAGCTCCGGAGTCAGGGCGATGACAGTCTTGATCACCACGGAGATGATGTCCGACCAGACCTTCTTGATGTCAACGCCCTTGGAAGACAGCCTGTAGAGGATGCTGGAGAAAGTCCTCTTGCTGCCCGTGTTCGCGCTGTCCGAGTGCACGAAGTTCCCGCTGTGGATGTTCAGCGAGTAGTTGGTTAAGTGCATAAAGACGTGGTGCAGGTTCTTGGAGCTGGGCTCCTGGTAGGGCTCGGTACAAAATCTGGAGAGTCCGTCTTTGGCGATGTAAATCTCTAAGGGCTCCAGGGACTTGAGTAAGACGTACAGACGGATGTCGAACTTGAGCTTGTCGATGAGGAGAGGTTTGCAGATGTACTCCTGGACCACCGCCGGCCTGCTCTGGAGGGTCCCTGTCAGGCGGATGTCACTGGGGTCTTTAATGAGGTAGATTCCGTCACCCTGACAACCACCGTCAGGTTTCACGATAAACGTGGGCTTCCAGGAGGGGTCGCCATCTTTCACCATGCGAACCTGGCAGGGGAAAAAAGAAGGATCAGCGTCCCGTGTTTTTCCTCTCTGGATCCCCGACACAGAGCAGGGTTTTGGCAAATGTTTGGTGAGTGAGTGAAAAAAGTGGCCCCTGCCTATCTGAGTACTCACTGCACATCCGCCATGGAGACGACACTGTACTAGGGACAGAGACAGTGACACAAGAATTGTCCTCAACCTTGTGCGCCGGAGCAAGATGGAAAGTGCAGCGGGTTGGCAGCCATGGGACCTGGATGCAAATCCTGTTTTGCCAGTTATTAACTGTGACCTTGGACAAGTCACATAACCAATACTAAGTCTGGGAATGATAATGACGGCGATCTAATATCACTTATGAGGGCCTGCGCTGTGCCAGGCACTGTATTAGGCACTTAGACAAGTTACCTCGTTTAACTTTCACAGGAAATACAGTTTTGCCCTTTCATACTGGGGACAGAGATGGCGCGGCAGCTGTTAAGCGTGCGGGTGTGGAATCAGACGGCCAGGGCTCAGGCGCTGGCCCTGCTACTTACCCTGTGACCTTGGGCAAGTGACATACCTGTGCCCTCCTCATCTGGGAATAGGAGGGAGATTGTTCTGGGGATTAAATGCGATGACAAGCGCCAAGGGCCAAGCACACAGGACTCGACACGTAAGACACAGCCCAGGAGCCTCGCCATGGCTATTTTTGAAAGATGAAATAACTTCCCAGATAACCCCGAGGGGGGCAGAGTCAGGACTAGGATCTAGACTGATGACCCGACAGCCCTCGAACCTTCCTCCAGAGGACCATGTCTCGTTTTCCTCATTTAAAAAAAATCGGACTATGAACAGCTACCCTCACTGGGTCATTGTCAAGATGAAATAAGGTGAAATGTGCAAAGGGCCAAGCGTAACACCAAACACAGAGCTGGTGCACAGGAAATGTCTGTCTTGTCGTTTACATTTGTTCTGAAGCTCTTCCAGCAGACCTGGCCCATCCTTCCGTCTGTTGAGATGGTCTTGAAACTAGACTCTGTCATAAGCAATATCTGCTCTCCTCCCGGCTCCAGGTTGGCGGGACACTGACATAATTAACTATCCCGGCTCTTGAGCAGTCCATAGCCCACGTGGGCCTGTGTGGGTCATCCGGGCCTCATGGTCCCAGACACCTGTGAGATGTTTTGTGCAACTTTTGAGAGTGGATGGACTGACACGGCAGAAGAGGAGGTTTTCACCAGGAGAGAGGAGCTGGAGGAAATGTAAGGTGGGCTTGAAAGACAGAGCCATGCTCTCTGCAGCTCCTAGCGTGAAAGTTCCCTTCTGAACTCGGCCCCCGACAGCAGTGCCCGGCAGGCCGAGTTGGTGGCACCGCTCCACCTTTGCTGCGTAAGCCCAGCCCAGGATGTCGGCACTCTGAGTTGTACTTATCTCTTTGACCAGGCTATATTTCTAAATGAAGCTTTTGCCAATTCCTTGAGGGCTATCAGCTATTCCAGGCTTGTAAAAGATCTTTAACAATGGAGAAACACTTAAAGCTTTAATAATGGTCCACATCAATTGTTTCCCCTTGTCAGCAGGATTCGAGAATGGAACTTCACAAGAGATCAATGCAAGCCTCCCAGGGCCTTCCACGGAGCCTTTCTTGCAACCGTGACCTTGGCGTTTATGTAGTTATTTAATATTCATCCAAAGCCTTCATACGCTTGGCCGTTTGCAGCACATACAAGCAAGCCGGACAAATGGCAGCGAGGGATCAGGAGGTGAAAAATGTCAGCTTTGCCCTGATAGGTGATTCTTCTTTCTGGAAAGCTGTTGCAATGCCGGAGATACTAACAGTTCAATATATTATCGGGAGCAATATTTTCTCTGTTGAGTTCAGTGTAGATGCCTTAAATAAATTAAACCACATGGTCAATAGTCTCTGTCATTCATTGCATTACTGAATATTTCTTCTGCTCTTTGTCAGAGTAGAGCCATACAAATCAAGATCATTAATACTAATAGAATCATGGAATTTTTAGAACTGGAAGGATTCTCGGAGCTCACCATCTTCCAGTCCTTTCTTAATTCAAAGGGGAAACTGAGGCTCAGAGAGGTGACATGACTTGGGTCCCATAACTGGCTAGTGGGATGGTTAGGACAAGAACTGGGCTCTCCTGACCTCACCTCAAGTTCAACGTACCATTTTTGCCTCTCATGAGATAAAACTAAAGGTCCCCTTTTCCTGTTTTTACTATAGGAAAGGTTCTCTTAATGAATCAGACAGTATTGGCATCTGAGCTCTGGCCCCGCACTGGAGTTCGGTCCCTGAGCACAGTCATTTGGAACTGTACCCGCAGTCTAGGATACAGACTAGGACCAGCTGGTTTCACATCTTCTCTCTGGGTTCCCAGCTTGTTAAAAACACAGATAGGAATCTGTAGGAAAACCTCACAGTCATTCCGCATGTGGTTCCCATAGCTACCAGACCCTTCAGCCACTTCTACTTTAAAAAGAGAAGAAGATGTTTCAGAATTCATATGCACTCTCCTCTGAGCTTCTACTCAAGAGCGACCCTTTCCCCCCTAGTTATTAAAGTTCAGAACTAATGCGCTGGTTGTTAAAAAAAGAAGCCATGCACCGGAATGAAAATGCCATCTACATACCTAGGCCCCAGCAGCAGAAATTCTGATTTAATCGATGTGGCATGAGACCTGGGCGTGTGCATTTTGGAGAAAGCGCCGTGAGTGATTCTGATGTGCATTCTGTCTGAGAATCACGGGACTAATGTGGATCAAATAAAAATACAAACTGAAACCGAGATATGGAATGAAGTTTTATGCTTTCGTGGTCACGGGAGTGTGAGGGAGACTTGCACTTAGGCTACGACTGATGGTATCTCTGGTTTTACCCAAACCTGCCGTTGGACGTGAAATCCATTATCTTGTATCTGTGGACATGGATGGCTGGGGGAGATACAGGGTGCGGGGGCCTGAGCGCCTGGCACGCCGCCTGCCTGTTGAGAAATGTAGGTGTCTTTTACTGCCCTCTAGTGGATGTTTAGGAACCGCGACCAGGAAAGTCACACCATTCAAAACTCCGACACCACTCAGCAGTGAGATACTCTATCAACGCGTTACCAATGCACCACTGCCGATGGAGCATTATTCGGCCTTAAGAAGGAAGCGAATTCTGACACATGCTACAACATGGATGTATCCTGAGGACATTGTGCTAAGTGAAATAAGCCAAAGACAAATACTGTATGATTCCACTGACATGAGGCACCTAGAGCAGTCCGATTCAAACACAAAGTGGAACGGCGTTTGCCGGGGCTGTGGGAGGGGGACTGGGGGCGTTAGTGTTTAATGGGTACAGAGTCTCAGTTTTGCAAGATACAAGTTCAGGGATGGATGGTGGTGCTGGTTGCACAGGGATGTGAATTTACTCAATGCCACTGAACACTTAGCATACATACAATGTGCACTTAAAGATGCGTAATCTCTTAAATTTTGCTGTGTATATTTTACTACAATTTTTAATTAAAACTTTAAAAAAACTTTAAAAAAAATAAATAGCTTTTGGTGAGTTAGAAGAAAAGTACTGAAGTAAAAACAGGAAATCTGGATTTTAGGCCCAATTTAGCCAGGTCATTTCTGACTGTGTGACCTTGAGAAAGTCACCTAACCTCTGGGGCTATAAAATAAAGGGGCCACGCTAAGGTCAGCTGACAAGCTACACAATGATTTATCCTGACATCGCCACCACGGAAGGCTGTGTCACAAACACGCCAGCGGCATCAATCACACCGGAGAGTTCCCGTCGCGCCGTTGTGATCAGCACATCGGGATGAACTGTGAGGGCAGGAGATTTGGAGGGGAGATTTATGATGCACTTGGGGACGTCAGCTGGGCACATGGGGGAAGCAAGCTGAAATATTTGGAGGCGGAAATTCAGCAACTGGAAAACCCAGCTACAAAACGTTATTAGCAATGAGGGGCAGGTAAGAGCACAATTTCTGAGGAAATACTGTGTCTGCAATACCTGGGAAGCCAAAGCCAGTTAGAGCAGTCCTCTGTCACTCAGGCGGATTTGCATTCAATCTTAGCAACTCAGACCCTTGGTGTCACGGGCACCCGCTGCAGATCTTAAGCACAAACAAGCCTCTGGTGGACAAAAATCAGTGTCGCAAAGTGCAGGCTGGACGCGATGCAGGGACCAGCCCCTGCCAGCATCGGGGGCTGAGCCTGGCAGCCAGGGCCAGTTCCTACTCTCGGCGTTCAAGGCAGTGTCTGAGTCCAGCTACGACTGAGGCAGTCTGCAGGAAGGTCCCTGGGGACAGATGGGAGGGGCACTGGGGCAGAGCGGGAGGTGGAACAGTGAGGCCGAGAGAGAGAACTTGAGCAGGTGACTTGCTGCTGCGGCAGGCTGTATGAAGGCAGGAGAGAGCAGGAGACTTCTGGGGAACTGCAGATAGTTCCGACGGCTAGAGGGAACAGAACGGGGTGAAGCAGGGAGCGCACGTGGACATCCCACTAGTGAGACTGGCAGGGGCAGATAACGACGACGACATAACAGTAACATGAGCATACACTTACTATGGCTCAGGCGCTGTTCCAAGCACTTTATGTGTATTATTATCTCATTTAATCCTCACAACAATCCCATTTTACAGATAAGGACATGTAGGCCCAGAGATGTCAAGTAACGGCCCAAAGGTTACACAGCCAGTAGGTTGTGGAGCCAGGATTTGAACCCAGGCAGTCAAGGTTCCAGGGCCCATGTCCAGAACGAATGAGGATGCATGTGGGGAAGGGAATGGACGACAAGCATGGGTATGAGGTAGGAGTCTGATAGGGCAAGGCCTTGACTGTGGTTTTAGGGAGTTTGGACAATGTCCCGGAGTGCCGGGGACTCACCGGAGGGTTTCGAGACGCACTGTGGGAAGGCCCTCTGGCTGCTGCCCGGAGAATACACCGGAGGGGGCGGGGTCGCTGACAGAGGAAAAGCCTGAACTGAGGGTGGCAGTGGAGCTGGGCAGG